CACATTGAATATCTTCTGTCTCCATAGTAGGGGGAATACTTTTTGCTCTGAGTAAAGATATGTAACACACACACTGCACACACTCACAGGGCCTATCTAAAGCAAAACCTTGCGCTCAAAAAAAAATCCAAAACATACCAGAATTACACAATTTGATTTCCTTCATCTCTGCATAGCTGCCACTACTTGATTAAGTTAGTTTTTTTCCCTGCCAATTTCTAAAACCTCCAGAGTCAAGTGGCATTATATTAATTTGACTATAGGACAGATCAGAAATTTATGAATTATATTTATATTATTTACTTTACAGAGGGGCAAGAATTTAGTCCTTGCAAGGCCCTGTGCTGTCACAGATAATGGTTAGCACCTGGATAGTTCAGACGAATTTACACTATACTTGCATGGCTTGTGTAGTCACCTCCATTGCACTGCTGCCACACCCATTATAAAGCTACTTTCATTAAAATTTTTTTGTATTAGCAAAGCAATAAATATTGAATATTGAAAATATTTATTAATGGAAATTAAGACAGTCTTCTATCTTAACTTGTTATTAAAAAAAAAAAAAAAAAAAAAAAAATTATTGGAGAGCAGAGAGCGTTTACCATAAATATTACTAACAGACTTTTTGTACTGTTTCCATTCAATGAAAGAAAGAATTAACAGAAAGAGTGAAATTAAAAGAACGTAGTAACCCATTGTATCAGTGTAACACAATGGAAAGCACAGCATTAACAGCAGAGCAACAAGCTCCCAGCTACATTTAAGTGAGGATTTGCTGAAACGTAACCTCCGTAGGGAGAGAAATAAAGGAAAGAAACTTCTTACCCTCAGAAGGCCTCAGGTATACACGGATCTCCAGCCATAAAGCCTTTCCTCCCCTACCAACCCTCGAAGTCTAGGAAAGGGTGGATCCTTGCTCTACCCCTTCTGGTCACACAGGTGCATTGGATGCACCTGAGCTCCCCTGGTTTGGCCCTGCCTTCCCACCAGGTGCTCAATCACTGCTTCAAGCCCTGACTTTCCTAGCATTTCTGCTACAATCAGTCTCACAGCAACTGGAAAAAAAATCACGTAGGTTACTCGTGATAAATGCTATAAGGAAAACCAAGAAGGTTAAAATACTGTGCAAGTGTCTATTAAAAAATGCATTTGAGCATTGAACAGTTTCTGAATAACTGGACAGAAGCAAGAATTATGCCAAAGAACACAATCAACATAAAGAGATCAGAAACAGAAAATGGTTTGCAGTTGTCCCATCCCTGGAGGTATTAATTCCAGGCTGGATGGGGCCCTGGACTATCTGATTTAGTATTTGATCTAGAAGCTGGCAACCCTGCCCATGGCAGGGTGGCTGGAACTTGATGATCCTTGAGGTCCCTTCCAACCTAAGCCACTGCAGAAGATTCATGAAATTCACTACAACAAAACTCAAAGTGAGAAGAAACCCTTCAGGCCTTGTTGTCAGTTTACTGTAAGTACAATATTTCTTCTGACTTCAATCTTAACTTCTGATGTCTTAAGTTCTTGCATTTGTATAAGTAAATACTGTCTACACTAATAAATTTTCATCTATTCAGTAACATCGTTTTTTATTTCTTAATAGATTTCTCAGAAGTCATTTAAAATAAATTAGCCACAAAACATGAGCATACTGGCAGTTAGTGTTCCCTTTCCTCTTTCTAAGGTCCCAACTCATACAATTAGAAAGGTTGTAGAAAATTTTAGATAGGCCCTTCTGTGACCTGTCCAGAGCCACATACATCTCAGATCTGATGCACAGGATATGCATTACAAATACTGACATTCAAAATCACACCATTAGTGTCCCATAAGATTAAGTAAAATGCAAGAAATTAAAAATATAGTTTGAGTTTATGTAGTTTAGCATCTAGTCAATAATACAGGAAAAAGGGGTATTTACTCTCAGTATTTGAAGCAAAATTTGCCTTAATGTTAACAGGCAATAAGCTTGTATGTTAAAAGGCAGTATGAGTTAAAACTACTTAATTTAATAAATTAAGCATTTTGTCAACAGTTATCTAAGAGTAATCAAAAGCGATAACTGCATTTTCATATTGAAAGAAGTAGTTCAAGAAATAGGGCTCACTGAGCAAGAATTCCTCACAGATTATTTTTCTGGAATAAGCTCATTTGGAAGAACAAATTATTACAATGTACACATGTGGAAGTAGTGACTCTCTAACAGCTGTGAAAGAAGACTTAACAAATCAGATTAAATACTTTTAAAGGAAGAAAGTAGTACAATTTTTAATGCCTGAAGACTGTCAGAGCCAAGCCCTTTTGCATTTGTGATCTTTTTCCCCTGCATTTCAAAATAAATTGGAGCATCGGGCAAGGTTCATAACACATCGTTTTTATGTGTTTCTGTCAAAAACTTACATTGATTTAAAAGAAACTTAAACCTGATGAAGTCAGTACTCTTCCATGAAACAGACTTTTTATTCTCTTGGTAAGACTATAAGAAAAGGAATTCAAATAAACTCAAAAGAAACCAAATATTATACTTAGCAGAAGTTGCTAAAACATAAACGCTAGTATCTGAAAACATCAGAAATACCTTCTGTACATACAATAAAAACTGATGTTTGCTTGACTGTATTAATGAGTATTCAGTTTGTCCTTGCCTATTTATTAAGTACTTCAGACTCCTCAGCTTCAGGCACTGAACATTCTCCAAATTCTTCCAAAATTTAGAATTGTATCCTTTTCCATATTTTTAATCCTCCATCCTGGGAGACATTGTACCCCCCACATGCATTCTGTGGCATGTTAAGATAATTACAGTAACATAAGAAGAAGCCTGCTAGGAGAGGTATGTTGTCATACTGGGCATTACCAGAAAAACAAAGCTCAGAAACAATTATTTTGGAGGAACACACTGGTTCTAATAACTTGACTGCTAGGAGACACCTTCTTGGGACCACAGGAGAGGAGGAGAGTAGCACTCCTAAACAAATGTCTCTTTACTGTCCCTAAATGCACTCAGAAATGTCCAGAGCAACATGCATTTGTTGCCCACCACACTGGAGTAGCAGCCCTAACAGAGTCCATCATAAAGCATGATTGCTCTCTGCACTTTCTACAAGCACATGAAGAAAAGCCACTCTTGGTAACAGTAGCTCCATTGTTAATAGTATCATCTTTAGTTAATTTCTATAGTCTGAAATTAATTTTTCTCTCCTGCAGTGTTTGTTTTCAGGTTTTAAGAGCCTAATCTTGAGGACTGAATCACAATTACGACCTTATCTCAGAAACTGACACCATGTTATTAGAAAGCAAATAATTAGAAAATTATCTGGATGATAGAAATGAACATTTTGGCCCTTTTCTTTTTGAACAAAAAAATTATCTCAGTGACCAAATACAGATAAGATCACCCACACTGGCAATATGAGTTCAGACACTGCAGTGATTTCCTCAAAAAAAAAAAAAAAAAGCAAACCTGTTGACACCTTAGTTAGCAGGTCATCCAGCTGAGATGGGAAGAAATAAAGGTTAACCTTGTGCTATATATGAGCAGATTGATGTACAGTGAGAGAAGCCTCCCTTTTTTCCCCCAACCACCATTACTTAAATTTATAAAAATCATGACTCTGAAGTGAGATAGCTTTAGTACTTGAATACCAAATGAATTTGTATGGAAATCTATCAAATAAATAGCTTGTTTATTAGATATTAATTTAAAACTGATACTTTCCAACATATACCATTTACTATCAAAAGGAAACTTTTTATCCTAATTGCTCTTTATAAAGAAATATTGAGCACTCCTCAAACTCTCCACATAGTCGAAGTTAATTGACAAATTATTAGCAATACATAAAAGAATTAATTAAACTATTAATAAAATAACTGTTGCACATGCATTTTCCATTTTTCAGAGTACAAGAAACTGCTCATGTTCTCCAGACAATGGGAACATATGTATTACTCCTGCTTCCAGATCTGGAATGCATTTAGTTCCAGGAGAATGTATTAATTCTACAGCAATATGCTAAAATTTTCACCCCTTTGAGGGTCTGAATATAGGCATTTAGACTTTTCAGATTTACCACTCTTCCAGATGCTCTATATACAGGTCCAAATCAACCAGGATTTCTCTTCATGCTGAGAATTAAGCTTAACAGATCACTCAAAAATCAAAGTTAATTGTTTCAAGAACAAAAAGAAAAACCACAAATACTACCCATTTAGCTACCAATGTTCTAGAACAACCACAAAGACCAACATTTATCTACTCCAACAATGTTGTTATCTGATATAAAATTTCATATCTGAAATGTCAGTTAAGCATGAGGAAGATGTGGGAAAACTAAGGAAGGATTTCAGAGTGGAAAAGAAGCAATAAAATGCATCTTATTGGGATCTGTTACAAAAATCAGGGACATGAAGAAAGATAGGCAATAAACCACAGAATCACACAATCATAGGGGTTAGAAAGGATTTTGGAAGATCATCTAATCCAACTCCCCTGCTAAAGCATGTTCCCTAAAGTAGGCTGCACAGGAAAGCGTCCAGGCAGGTTTTGAATATGTCCAGAGGAGACTCCACAACCTCAATAGGTAGCCTGTCCCAGTGCTCTGTCAGTAAATACCTCAAAGTATTTTCTTATGTTTAGATCAAACTTTTTCTTCCAGTCTGTGCCCATAGCCCCGTTGTCCAGCCACTTGGCACCACTGTAAAGAGCTTGCTTCCTTTTGACACCCACCCCAACTTCTAATCATTTCTTAAGGGATTGCTCTCATTAAATGTTTAAATGTATTGTTTGATCCAAAACTCATTGAAGTAAGACAGAAAACAGAAACCCAACGTGCAATTTAACAGCTGCAATATGCAGAGTACAATCATTGTCATTGGTATCAAAAGTTCATGCTTGGCTGAGAAATGCAGATGTTGGTGGGTGCTCATGTATAAGAGCATATGCTTTTGCTCACCAATACAACTGTCAAGTATCACCAATCCACCACAAACAAGGGTTGTAATACTTAGCCTTTAATGAGTTTCAAGTTAATGATGCTTATGTATTGTCCAGATACAATATACAGACTTACTTATGTAGTCACTCTAATAAAGATTAAAGCCCCAAAACATCAAGATTATATTCACTGTAATGAAGTTTAAAAAAAAAAGTTAAACAGAAGTAGTCAGTTGTCAAAGCACAAAGCTGAAGCTTCACCTCATAGTAAAATGTTTTCACATAATTCATATTTACTATTCTAACAAATATCATTTATTTAAAGGAGCAAGAAAGAAAAGTTTTGTTGGTTTTTTTTTTTTTTTTGCATATACTGTCAATAATCTCTTCCAATAATCTTATACGAGATCAGAACAAAACACAGTAAATCAGCTAGAAGATTAAGTGAACTCAGGCTTCTAAAAATGTGCATAAAATGACTGTTGGATCAGAGATAACATTATATGAGGGTTGGACTGAATTAGCTTTAGAGGTCCCTTCAACCTCTTCTGCGATTCTGTAATAGATATCTGAGATACCTATGATATCTTAGAAATACTTTTAAAATATCAAGATTTCCTGATTCTGATAACTTTTGCCAGACACTTTGGATGGCAGGTTCTGTGAAAGGGGGTAAAAACAAGTACAACTTCAATATATTTTACGTTTATTAATATACAAAAACAGTCTTCTGGCGTTACTACTGCTAATATGTTCACAGCAAAGCTAACATAGCCCTTAAGCAAGGTGGACTCGCATCAAGAAAGCAGGCTGCTTCTCCAGCCTGCTTTGGTGCCTCAGAGTCTCTCTATCCTTTCATCTCAGTGAACATTGGTGAAACTTCTTTAGCGAAGGAACTGTCACATACATCAACACTCTGATATCTGTTGATTCATAAGATGGGGTCCAACTTTAACAGAGACTACTTGGTGAAAGTTGAGAGGGGACAGAGAGAACACAACAGTCATTTAAATTCTTAGTAACTGCCAAATTTTACATTAAACGCATAACTGCATAATAAAAGTACTCTTTTTATTTTTGGTTTGAGTATCCCGATGATTCCCGTGACAGTAGAGACACTGGTCCGACATGTCTGTCTGTAAGTCCAACTCTTAAGTGATTCCTTTCTCCTCAACTACATATTAGGTAAGCTGGAAATTAAAGATTTCTAGAAGATGACTCCTAACATCAGCATCAAAGATGTTCTGCTGATGCCAAGGACTTACAGAGATCTATAAGCACAGGGAGGGAAAGAATGGTTTATTTTGATGTTTGATCAGATGCTGATGCCTTCAGAAATCCTAGATGATTACAGAAGGCTAGTGTTCAGAAATGCCTTGCAAGTTCACAACCCAAAATCCATTAAAAGGCAAAAAACTTCTAAAGAACAGTTTTAGAATATTTTCCTTTTAAAAGCCAATGAAAAAGACATCTAGGTTTTCAGAATGTTGCTCTTTAAAGTACTCCAGCAACTTCAGTATCCAGACGCATTAGTCCACATTCTACAGTGAGAAACTTAAGGTAAGTTAACATTTGTTTTAAAACAAGTCATAAAGGCATAGAGAAAGTAATTAGCACACGGTCATCCTGCAGCTGAACTTAGAATCAAAACTGTACCAATATAAGTACCTAGTTCTCATCTTTGTTAGTAATACGTCCTATTTCTCTCTCAAATACCATCTTTAAAATAAATTCAAACTCCTGTTTCCATCTTAACGGAAACTTACATGTTAGAAGGAAGATTCATTCTTCAGCCAATGGCCTGTCTTAGCAATTTGCTGATCTTCCAGCCACACTCTTTGCATTAGAGGCGACTTACCAGAATTCAAGAAGCATTTAAACAGTGCTTTCAGAAATACGATTTGAACTTTGGATAGCCCTGTGTGAAGCCAGGAATTGGACTCGAAGTTCTTGTGAGTCTCTTCCAGCTGGGGATATTTATGATTTTACCTATTTCTTTGCTTTGCCAATCTTAGACATTACCTGCACACAACTTTATGTTAGATCAGGTGAAAAAAAAAACGAAAAACAGGTTGCTTCTTCTTTCTTACTCCTGTAACTCCAGCTTACTGAGACTCAAAGGATCACATTCACAGGTGAGGATGAGTTATCAGCTCAGAAGCATGGTGGAAACACTGATTACACTGTAAGCACATATAGGGCCTCTTCTCCCTTTTGTGAGTTCTTTGATGGATAACGAGGCTAGATTTGCAAGTAAAATGATCACCACAATCTGAACACTCAAATGATATTTTCTGCCTCTGGTGCATCTTTTGGTGCTGAATCAGAGCCGAGTTACAGTTGAAGACCTTGTTACACTGTGTGCATTTGTGAAGTTTTTTTGCAGTCTGGGTACACAGATGATTCAAGAGGCTTGAGCTGCGGCTGAAACATCTTTTGCACACAGTGCACTCATAAGAACTCTGTCCTGGTGAAGGTCTCTCTGAGATCACATTGTCTTGGAAGTTTTCCACATTACAGCATCTCTTCTTGGACACCACTGCCTGTTTCTCCTCAAAGGCTGTTTGCAAACTGGCATTTTGAGACTTTTCACCCTTCTGACAACCTTGGTCATTGTTCTGGAAGATGTTTTCTCTTTGGCTTCCTGATGACACCTTGTGCTTTTCTGCATTTTCCAGTCCCTCCTGTTCATGATTCTCCCCTTCCTTCTCAAGTCTATCAGCCACTGAAGATTTAAAAAAACAAACAAACAAACAAAAAACAAAAAACACTTTGCTATTGTCTACAAACAGCAGATATTACTCCTTGCCACCTGTAATTTGGAGCTAAGACTTCTAAGCAGAGTAGTATAAAAATATGAAATAAGTAAGTTTTAACATTTTAGTGATAGTGAATCATTTACCCTCAGCTTTGAGAATTTACAATTGCAGTGGAAAAAATTTAAATATGCTTACATATATAAAATCCTAAACTGAATCCAAACTGTACAACTAAGACCTCAAGTTTCATTGTGTTCAGTATTACAAAAGGGGTAGAAATCCATTGTGCATGATGTTTTCAAAGGCACTGATACTATTTTGTATTATCAAAGAAAGAAAAGCAATCTTAGCAATCTTTGAAAGACACAAGAGGACATTGTAACCATTAATTTGACCTCTTGCAATTGAGAGGCTTCGAAGGTTGAATTGAACTCTAATAAACATGTTCTGTTTCAAATAATAATTAAAAATTCAGCACGTGGATTACTTATATACCTATATATCTGAGATACGTAGCAAAGCAGGAAGCTTTCTACATTCTACTCTATAAAAATAACATGACTTACAACCATCACGTCTGTTCCTTGAAAAGTCTTGACAATCTTGCTTGGTAATCCCTTAGGACAAACACAAGGAAGAAAGTGGATTTTATCTAGTTATGTATGCAAATCTCCAGATTAATGCATTAATGCAGATTAATCTTTTATCCTTGTTTAAATCAAAAGCCTTTTGCTTTAAAGACTAAGATGGAAATCTGTCTCCATAATTTCTATTTTCATGTTCTTTTTTAGTAAGGTACCAGATGTGAAGTGGATTTTCTGGTATGAACACCTGAACCAAGGTTATTAGAACTTCCAGACTCAGGAATGTTAAAGATGAGACAACTGATGAGGTCACATTATTGCTAAATCCTGCACCTGTAGAATTTCTGGCCAACCCTCAACATTTTTCTCCCTGTTCTCCTGTATAAAAACCTGCATGCTACCACATCTTATGTGCGTATTACCTAGCTCCTTAAGGTCGTCTTCTGTAACAACTGTTAGCAGATAGTATTTGATCTTTGATTCTTTGCTTTCTTCTTCCTCTTTATGGAATGGTTCTTCAGGCTGTGGCCAGTTAAGCTGAGAGCTAGAAGACTCACATAATTTCACAGGATCGACCATCTTTCACACAAGTCACTCTTCAATCTTGAAATGCTCTGTAACCTGGAAATGAATCAAACACATTACTATAGAAGCAAGACTTTCAAATCAGAAGAAGTCAGAACAGGCAGAATATTGTTTCATCCCAACACAAGGAATACATACTGCTTGATCCTATGTAGGATTTCTTCAACTGAATCAACACTAGAAAATATGTCTTTTCTCAGTCTGCTGAATCAAATTTGAATTCAGTTTTTAGATTTTGATTCTAGCTCCTAGACCTACTGTGAGTAATGCTAAATAGTTTTAGAGAGTCTATGTAAAGGTTTCTCAGCCATTTCTTCCCTTCTCTGTCAGCTTCATCCACACGCGCTCTTGGGTGAATCGAGATTTTATTTCCAAATACTTCAAAGTGCCAGTGGAAGTTACTCTTTAAAGTGTCCTTTGTCTTTTTTTGTGCCTTCAAATTCTACTTGTATAAAGGAGAAAACAATCCTTTTATAATAACATTGAACTAAATGCACAAATAGTCACAAACAGTGTAATATGACATAAATAAATCCACAGATTATGGGTCAGTTATCTATCTTGGAAATTTTAGGGGAAAAAAAAAGAGCTTCATTTCAATTTTCTCATCATTCTTTTCTTCAGTGGAAGAAGTAGAATAAGTCACGTTACATTTAAATTTTCATCAAAGCACACTTGGTAAATTTTAATTACCTAATTTCCTACTTTGTGACTTTATGCCAGAACCTCAAGCCTTTCCATTTTTCCATGAGACTTTTTCCACATTTCAGCATAATTCATGGCATGCTCAGAACCTCCAAGTTCCCATCTGGCACAAAAGAGGTCCTCTTGTAGGTATTAAGTTGCCCTACTTTACTCTGTATAACATGGGATCCTGATATGTCCAATGGCTCATCGAATTTTCAGACTCTAAAGCTCTAAGCTGTCCACATGAAAAGATGATTGCACTTTGGGAAAACCTAAGACGGCAAATCTTTAAAAGCCTACTATAGACAAATTATTATCATGGGAAAATGGGAGTCACAAAGGCATAACAGCTCCAGTTTCATTCTAATTAGATGGAAACGTTAAGTCAGAACAGTTGCTTAGTTGGACCTACCTGGACGACTTTCCCAGACCCAGCTCTTATAGCAAGATATGAAGGAACTGTTACAAGATATTCATGCCCATAATTTGCTCCTTTTCTAAGTCTCCAATTTCAGCTTATAATTCCAATCATCTATAAGGCTCAAAGGTACCCTTAGCCTCCAAGCAGCGTAATTTTCTGAACAGCTAGTACTGCTTCTCTGTGCTGATACTTACCTCTTGCAGGACAGCTATTTTGACTGCCATTATCTTCCCTGTCTTCCAGTCTTACTACACACCTCTCAGCCATTTCTGGTGAAAAGCAGATTTCTGTAGGTGACCAGTAGGTTACAGACCCATTCAAAGTCAGACAAATAACCTTCACAGCTTAAACTGTGGCAGGTAAAATTTTCCTAGTCCTAGAATAAAGGAGACTGCAAGGTATGAAAAACCTGCTGGCACCAAGAATCTTGACATTTTGCCATGCCAGCAAAGAATGATGAACTACTCCATTGAAATGGATCCTGCTTTCCTCATTAATTAATGACTGCCTTACCAACCCACAAGATTTACAAGCTTATGTCAGTCTCTTCCAAATTTCAGAGCTAATCCTGTCTGTTCCTCATAACACGTACATTGCTCCAAAAGTAATGCCTCCATTTTTTTTTCAATAGAAGGTACAAAGAGCACAATAACTATTTGATAAAGCAAATTCGCAGCTACAAAACACTATTGTTAACACAGTCACCATCATTAGCTATGCATTCTCACTAGCAATATACAGGAGCCTAAATGCAAAGTTCACAAAAATCTTCAGCAGCAGAGGTGACCCACTGTTCACAGCTGCTATTATAGCATCATTGTTGAGATGCACCCACCACATATCCACCATCTGATCTCCATAAACATTAAGCAAGAGTCAGTGAACATCAATTGTTACCATTTTTTTCCACACTGAGAAATTCAACCACACACATGCTTCATATGTATTTCCACGTCAGACACCATTTCGTCAGATTGCCCTTCCACTGTCATCTATCACAAAGGAACAATATGTAATAGAATACTGTCAGGAAGGTTCAACCTCTACTGCCGCACCACCAACACCCACCTCTGATGTTGTGAGCCAACACAATAAAATAAAAGACATTACTTCTGAAGGGTGGAGCACCCTTCATACTATATTAAATCATAAAGTAAGTGACATTCCAGTAATGCCATCTAGTTCTAACACATCTGTCTGTGTCTTGTAGGCAGTCTTTTTCTCCCCTACATCAAATTTGTGCAAAAATTGCTAAGCCTTAGTAATTTATATCTGATGAAAGCTAATCAAATCTACTTTCACAACTTAGAGTCTGCAGATGCATGAAAAAATGTGGATGGAATGGCCAGGGCAAGAAAGAATACATACAACTGAGAAATGTCATCTGAATGGATCACAATAAATAAATAAATAAATAAATAAATAAATACATGAGATCCTAATCTTATTTTCCACAAGATTAAAAAAAAGTCAGAAATAAACAAGAACTCTTCCATACAAGGCTCTGAAACAGAGATCATAAAATTTCAATAAAAATTGGTTATCTAGAATTTCTGGCTTCTTTGGATGCAATCTAAACATAATGAATGTGATAATTAACATTTCTGTATTTTACAAAGCATCATTTAAAAGTTACATTGCGTGAATTTTCATGTAAAAAGCTATAAAGCATACAGTTTTTAAAGCTCATTCAATATTCAGAGCATTTCTAAAAGCAATTATCTATGGAATTCCAAAAATATATTTTCACTTCATAAAATTAAAATTTAGCCCTGATTATTTCGGACAGAAGCTTTCAAATGGAATCTAAGTATATACTGATAGAAAAGGACAATACATAAGCAAAATAAAAATATAATTTTATTATCTCACCACTGATAATCCAAGTCTATGGTGTTGGGACACCTCTCCCATGAACCCTTAGAGGTGTAACACTGTTTACATATGTCAGGATAGAGAAACATAAATGTAAACAATAATAATATTTAAATTATGTATTTTTCCCTGTTATTTATAATTTGTGCTTGCAAAGAAGTGCTTTTATCTCTGTGACAGCTAGAAATCTACTCATACCAAACTGTCACAGAAAGTGAGATGGTAGATCGTAGTCTCAGCCAGAATGGGAGTTTCCTTAGGAGCTCAACTTCAGAAGATACATAAAATGATGTCACCTGCACTATCTATAGACTCCTCTATTACCAACTGCAAGCTGTATTTAGAAATACAGCGCTATGCTGTCTCAGTCTTTAAAAGGAAAACTACTCCAAGAGCTATCTCAAGATAAATGCATGAGAGTTCTGTAGTGGAAAGAAGAGCGCAGAGATGCAGTAGCAGAATGAAACAGAAGAACTTGCAACTTTCAAAATAATTAATAAGGAGGGCCTTTCAATCTGATTTTACCAATCATTTATTGTCTTTTTCTAGATGGTGTTAACGTACATACACTATATGTCCTTTTAATAATTTGACACAGTAAATTTTAAGTACCATAGCTTTAAAACTACATCGTTTAAAACAAGCAGAGATCAGTACAATCTATTACGTACATACATGAGAGCCCAGATTCCCAGACTCTGGCTGCAATCTGAGGAGGCCAAGACGGGGTGCGTAGGGATGCAGCCCAGTGAGAGAGCATGGGACTCTCTGGGTTGGCTCGAGCAACCTCCTCCTAGGGAGATAATCACACAGAATCACAGAATCACCCGGGTTGGAAGGGACCTCAAGGATCATGTAGTTCCAACCCCCCTGCCTAGCAGGGCCACCAAACACACACATTCAGATCAGGTTGCCCAGGACCCCGTCCAATCTGGCCTTAAACACATCCAAGGACGGGGCATCCACAACCTCCCTGGGCAGCCCCTACAGTTGAGGAGCCCCAGCTCCTCAAGCCAGGGGCAGCGTGACTGAAGAGATAGCCCTGAACCCCTACTCCATGTGTTAAGAGCTGGGACCACCAGGTGAGGGCGATATCTCATCGAAATAGGTGTCCCTCCTACTGGGGATAAGAAGATGAGTCAGCTCCACCCAGGCCAGTGGAATTATCTCCTTTCAAAGCATTGGCAGAAGGCCAGATTTATGCTCTTGATCATGTGGGACTGAGTCATGCGTGCCTACAGGCAATTTAACAAGGCTTGTGTTAATTAGGGGGGATTGGGAGCAATCTTCGATTCAGAGACTACGTTGCCCTCCCAGCTTTTCTGAAACGACATCTTCCTTGGAACATAAGGCTGTGAGGCCCCCACCCCAGGCGCCATTCAGTCTTTACAGCCCCCGGGCTTTGGGTGCTTTAGGAAGCTAAGCAAGTTTCTTAGCTCCGTCTTTGTTCAAGACCGCTGCAAGATAAATACGTTGATTAAATAACATTCTTGCTTAAACTGTAGTTCTCTGCTGCTTTATGGTCATCCCGTGTTTGACACAGGAAGGCTGATGACTACAGTGCCTGGCAGGGAGCTGGGCGCATCGCCTGCCGCTTCGGGAGACGTTCACAGTGCCAATGAGAGCTGCTATGTCCCCCTCCAGGTTACGGCTGAAGCGGAGTTCGTATGTCTGGAAACACAGCTCAGATACTAAGCACCATAGGGTGGCTGTAAGGGGAATGCAGGAAGCTCCAAGCAGCCCTGCATGTTACCACACGAAAGAATAATTCTACAAACTGCTCGGCTGCTTAACACTTTCATCACGTTTTCAATTTTGCTGAGATTCTCTCTTAGAAGGACCTGTTCTGTGTCCCAGATAGAAAATGTAAGACCATGACAGGCGTTTCAAAAGAATACGGAGAGCTAATTATAAATCCACCGCGAATTCTGATTCCAGGATATTTCAAGAATTTTCTCTTGTTGCAGCATATTGCTGCATCGCCTCTCCAGTTCTCTCTCTCCCCATGCACTTTGGGGAAGCAGATCTGAAACAATCCAAAGCAAAAAAAAAAAAAAAGCTTGATTTTAAGCAGTGGGTCAAGCCGATCTTGACGTCCCAGCCCAGCTGCTTAAGCACGCACCGCAGCTCCCCAGGACACAGGAGGGCAGGAGCTCCTTGTTTCCACCCGGGTAGGCTGTGCAGCCTGCTCCTCATCAGCCTGCAGCATTCTGCCAACCAGCAGGAAAATCGATGAGGCAGGCTTATCTGAAGACCGAGATTACTTCCTCCAAATAGGATGAAGCACTTAATACTTGAGGGTCTGATGAGGACTGGTGATAGCTGAGTCTGCAGCTAGAACGCAAAATCCATTTCTAAGCCTAGTCAACCTACTCAGGCCCCGGCTCCTCTCTGTTCAGCAGCTGCCTGGACAAAGCTTTTCTTTCTCACTTCATTAGAGATTTCACCTCAGTAAGAAAGAATCAAATCCAGGTCTTGATAAACATTCCTCCCCCCCCCCCCCCCCCCCCCAACCCCCCCATCCTGCCCCACCTCTTCCCCGAATCCAGGTAAAGCAGTCAAGGGTTACTTAAGCTAGAAAAATTCTAGCTTTTTTTTGTCCTGAAACTCAGCGCAGCTGAACATTCAGTGCCCCCTGTTGCAGGCTTTTCTCTAAGCAGCCAAAGCTGAGGGATTGTTGTATATGGCAATCTGCACACAAGAATTTTTCTAAAAGATGTCTTAACTCTGATAGAAAAACTACAAAAGGAAAGGAAAAGAGAGAGAAACAACTTCCATGGACAGAGCATAATAAACGCAGTATTTACGAAAAAAATCGCAAAATGTGTAACACCATCTCTTAGAGTTCTATTCACACATCCTCAAAACGTTAACGAATCCTCACATCTCGTGCTGCATTTGGGAAAGAAACCATGGAAGTGTTAACTCTTCAAATGTTGCTGCAAACAAATTTCACACACGTATACATATATATCAGTTGAAGAAATTATGAGATCTGAGTGTTGATACTGACAAAGGTGGTCAGTTTTAGACTTAAAGTCAAACCTTACTGAATCCATCCACTCCGACGACACTTACTGTTGGAGATCAGTTCTCACCCTCTATTGAAGACCAGCACCACGAGCACCGACCTTTGCGTTTTTGCGGCTGCTGAAGCACAGGCAAAGAGCCTCAAAGACCTTCCTGCCCCACTCTCCACTCCCTCAGTTTAGGCTTTACTTTCGATTTCAAGTTCCGGATCCTCTCCTGCTGCTCCGCCCCGGTTCCGTTTGAGTCCTTTGTCTCACCAGTCTTCTTCCTGCGTATCGCTGCTGGCAGCCCCTGGGGCTCGCATTGTTCTGGCCTGGCGACCTGGGCTACCTGAGCACTCTCCTGCGGTGGCCGCATTGCTGGCGTGCCTGTGCTCAGCTGGCTGTGCCACCGCAGTGTCGCCGAGGGCTTGCTCGTTGCTTATGCTGGTATAGAAGGCTTATATTCAGGTTAAAAGCAAACTAGTATACTCAACACATTTTTAATAAGGAGATGTTACTGGCTCTGTCTTGGCTGCTGTGCATACCTTCCTGCAGTTTATGTAATTTTCTGTTAATATCTTTACTACTAATTAACATGAAACACTGAATGTATGTATTTGTTAACACTTCATATAAGTGGTTTCCTCATATGTATAGAAAAAAGCAAATGTGCTACTACAAATTGGAAGATAAATAGTCCTGGTGTCAATACATCACATTACATCTTATGTTCTGAAACATCGAGAGTAGTCTTATGATCCTCTTCTGTGTGAAGAAAGTAGAAAAATTAAAATATTATTGGTTTACAGCAGTTACGTTGTTTCTATACTAGCAGCAGAAAGTAGCAGGAGGAAGTCTCCTGAGTCAAATACGTGTACAGAATTTCATTGGGCTTCAGCTTGACATGCTTTTTAACGAATACCAGTATGGAGGATATTCAATTGCAAATTTATGGAGCAAAGTTTTTTATAGAGCTATAGAATCTGAAAATATCATTGGAACCAAAAATAACATAGACCTACTCTGTGCAGATTATTTAGGGTTTAGGCCTGAAATTATTAATCAGTGGAGCTAGTAATGGGTTTCTCTGAATAGACAGTCAAAAACTGCAAAGGCAAGAAGTATCTCCTTGTTATTCCTTTGAGATCCAGCTTAAGTCTTTTTTTTTTTTTTTTTTTTTTTTTTTTTTTTTTTTCTATTTTCTATTTTTTTCTATATTCTATTTTCTATTTTCTGCACGGAATAGTAGCAAGTGTCATTATCTTTCATACACATTCAAATAATCTATTTTCTGTTAGTGTAGCACACATGTATGTGTCTTCTTTCAGTTCATAGGGATTGTTCCTCCCCTGTCCATTGTTTCTACTTCTCATGTATTACCTAGGAAGGCTGGAATGGCAATTACATTCTTTCTATAAGTGTTCATTGAATTCTTAATCTACAGTCTTCAGAAAATTTTTGAAGGTCAGGGAGTGTATGGGAATATTGACTTTATGAATATATTCATGAGCTTCTTGTGACAAAGTTACATTTAAAAATCATTTCTCTTCTTACTGTATGATACAGTAGAATATCTGATTTGAGAGAATGTGCTTTCAATTGTGCCCATACAGACAAATGGAAAAGCAAAATGCAGAGTATGCCTAAAATGCAAAAGGTGAGGAAACTGCATATGAATATAGCTCATGACAATAGCACTTGAAAATATAACACGTATTAGCTATACCATCCCACTAGAGTTTCTGTTGCTAAAAATTTATATTATCTTCAAGGCAAGTGAAGACATCTCATTTGTAATACACTGGAAAACCAACCTTTTTTTTTTTTTTTTTTTTTTCCTGAAGGCAGGAAATTCATCATTTATTTTTATTCTTGTTAAGCCAAGAGCTCTGCTAGTCTGAGAAACAAAACAGATGCAATCCTGCAATCCTGCTTTCTTTCTTTCTCTTTTTCTTTTTTTTTTTTTTTTTTTTTAAGAAAGAATAGTTCCCCTGCTGTCATTTTCAACTTACAGACTAATTAGACTTACAGACATATAGCCAGGAAGATGAACATAAAATGTAAGGACCTGATCCTGAAAGAAAACCTGCAAACTTCCAGTGCCAATGAAACCAATGCCAATTATAGAGGATTTTACTTATTTATTTTTTCCCTCTGGGCCCAATTTCATCTTCCCTATAATGGGACCCATGCTGAGACAAAAGAAAATGAAAGAGCAAATATAATCTGTTAAATATTGGAAAGTTCCAGGCAGGTTGAAGTCCTTCATTTCCTTGCAAGCATATGGCCTCTTTTCTTTTCTTTTTTTTTCCAAAACAGGAGGATTTATTCAATAACCTGCAAACAGTTCTTTTATGTTCTATAAATTATGATTGACATAGTCTATCATCACAAAATATACCAGGGCTGCTTCAAATGTAATGCCTGCTATTAAAATAGGAGGCCCACAGTGTTAAAGGCAGATAGTGATGGTACATCAGTAGAGACTGAACCTTCCCACCAGAGTTCCAATTACATTTTGTTTCTGTGACAGATAGCAGCAGAGGGACACTCTGACAAAATGGCATCTGACATGGAAGTGCATATGAAGCAAAGGTGTGTCACTGAACTCCTCCATGCAGAAAAAATGGCTCCCATTGACATTCATGAATGCTTACTGAACATTTATGGGTACAAAACAGTAGATACAAGAACAGTGGGGTGATGGAATGTGCATTTCAGTGAAACAGTGGGTCACCTCTACCGGTGAAAATTTTTATGAATTAGGCACACATAGCAGGTGAAAATGTATTGCTAATGTTAGTGACTAAGATGAAAAATAGTGTTTTAGAGATGAGAATTTATTTTTTCAAATAGTTATTTTGCTCTTTGTATCTGTTGTAGTGGAAATAAATAAGAGGCATTACTTTCAGAGCAACCTATGTAAAACTTATCAGATTGTACTATATATTTCTATTATTTTTTGTCTATTCCTAGAAGGAAACTAGCATATGAAGTGGTAGATATCGCTATAGTCATAAAAGACATCAGAAAATTGAAACTTAAACCCAACAAAGAATTTCAGAGAAGGAAAAGGGTTTTACAGATTGAGTAGCACTTAAACTGAAAAGATAACATTGGATAATCAAATCTGAAATCCATCATACCAAAATGTATGCATTTCTTCACTTGTGCATCATATCTTTCCCAAAACCACATCTTTCAGAAAGGTTTCTGCTTTATAACCCTCATGTGGGTTTTTGCTGGTTTGCCTCAGTGGTTGACATCTTGTTAACACTTTGGCATTATTTCCAGTGTGAACTTGTTCAGCCTCTAATTAGTGACCCTTTCACTGTTGTTGTATTTCTCTACTTATCTAAGAAGGTTTCAGAACTAACATTTTCTTTAGAAGTACTTTTCATCTTCAGTGCAATAATCAAGATACTTTTCAACTTCTCTTGAGAAAAGTAACGTAAGTTCTTTTAAATGAACTAAAACATGACTTTTTCAACATCAAGTTTCCTGTTTTTCTGTATTTTCTGCTATATTACAATATCCTACCAGAACTGTATGTTTTATTCACATAATTCTAAAATTCATGACATCCATACAAAACAGGGCTGGAAAGATATTAGGCAGTCATCCTGTTCATCCAGTGCTCCAGGGCAGGATCAGGTATATACATTTTTTATCCAGGTTTATCTAACCAGTTTTTAAAGACTTCCATCACTGGAGAGTCTCTCACCTCCCTAGGTAATACTTAGCTATCCTTACCACTAGAAACTAAATCTCCTAGCTAAAATAGGACACAATACTTCTGTTAGGACCTGTTAAGACCTTCCTAACACTTAACAGAGCATAAGAATTACTGTCCATTCTTGTTATCCCTTATGGTAACATATTTTATTTTTGCAGCAGCACAGCACTTCACACAGTTTTAGATTAAAATTCACAGTAGATTCTGGAGCTCTTTTCTGTAAAATTTATATTCAGCCAATTGTTTCCATCCTTGCATTTGTTCAGATGACTATCCTATGTTATCCTCTCCAGCATTGTCTAAAGAGGTAAAATTACATATAAAATCCTGCATATCTTGCACATTTCTGCACCTCAGCAGCTCCTTTAGGTTGCAACACAGCTTTTAGACTGAGTCTGATTCTTCGCATTATGAATCCTCAACTCTCCCCAGTGGTTCAGGTTTTTAGGAATGTATGTAATCTTTCACTAAAGCATCTATAACTCCTACAGATGCAAGTCAGTTTCTGCAGTGGGATGTTGTTGAATCTAGTCAATAGTAATGGGTCTTAAATTCTGCCCCTCTGAAGCATTTAGGTGCATTATTCAGAATTATCACATCTGTGCTTTTCTTAGAACTATCATATTCTCGGATTACTCAAATACTGAGAGCTTGGTTGATGGTAGGTGCTACATTCTTTCTTTGAGAAATCAAAGAGAGATATTGCACTCAGTAAAATATTTATGTATGTGCTGTGGATTTTTTATATGGTAGAGCAGTGTAATTGAGAGTGAACTATCACTTAGCATTTTGGGAACATAAAAAAAGTGAGGTCTGATGCTATAAATAAACTGACACAGAAAATCTCCTCTGATGTCTTCATAGAGTAATTTGCAATATCAGGTGCCAAGTTAACTACTGGAAAGAATTGTATCTATTTTCTGTACAGGTTCCTTGAAGAATAAATGTGTCATCCACCACTCCTGTAATTTACTGTAAAACTATTTAAAATCAGATGAATTAATCTACAAGTATACTAAAAATCTATGTTGAAAAAACAGTTAAATTGCCATATATCACATATTGGCAAATTCAGCACATATTTTATTTACTAAAAACATATTAGAAATAACATTCCTGACATGAAACATATGTCCTAAGACATGATGGATGTGGTTGATCTAAAAATGTTAACAGCCTGCAAAATAGAAACAGTTATCTTAGCAAATAGAGTGAATATGTTAGAAATGCAGGTAGAAGAGGATAATTTTGGAGCACGTGGTCATGAACAAATTCAGATCTTGCTAAATAGTGGAATAATGAAATATTCATCAGGAACCAACCTCTTGTATTTTGGAAAAGCTATGTTTGAGAATCCAAAAATTGGTGGTCAGCAACTTTTGCACTGAAGACAGAATACAGATGAGGCAAGAATTACATTTATTCAAAAGATCAAATACAATTTATCAGGCTTCCACTCTTACTAAGCATGGAACAAATGGTT